CTCCAGAAGTCGACGCAGTCAGTCATTCCGAGGAGCACTTCGGGACCTAAGGCTTTAGCTAACACTTCAGACCACGCACGTCAGTTAAACCATGCCGCCGACGTCGTCCCTGTTCCTGTCAGCTGGATGTGGAGGCCAATATTTCACTTGGGCTAAAATACGCGGGTGTGCAAGCTCTGTTCGGCTTAGTCGTCCAAAGGTGCCTGAGTGTTACGGACGTGTCCTGCTGTTTCAGGAGTGATCCTGTTCGGCTCAGACCAGGAGGTGGCTGGTGTGATGCGCGCCGTGCGCCGTATGAACGCCACGGGCCGGTTCTCGTGGATCGGCTCGGACGGCTGGTCGGCACGCTCGCTCGTCTCGGACGGCAACGAGGCAGAGGTGGAGGGCACACTCTCCGTGCAGCCGCAGGCCAACCCCATCCGCGGCTTCCAGGAGTACTTCCTCAACCTCACCGTCGAGAACAACAAGAGGAACCCTTGGTTCACCGGTGGGTACACCGCTGCTCGCTGTGCATCGTGGAAACTCTGAGACTAACGGAAGCTGATACAAGCGCTGATGTCGGAAAATTCTACTCTACAAACTGGGCGGGGTGGAATAAGCGCGGGAACTATCTGCTGCGCAGGTCCCGAAACATGCTTTGCTTTTCTTCCAGAGATGTTTGCTCGACGCAAAACAATGGTCAAAGTTTCAGATTATAAGAACTCCGCGAACGAAAATAAGCCATTTGATACGGAGCCTTTACTTCTCTCGGGATGTTTCCGGCGCGTGCGTTCCCGTGTTCGCACCCGTGCGTGCTCCCAACATCGGGACTTCCGCCGCCGTATCCTAATGGCCGTTGTGCTGAGTCAGGGCAACACTGGACTGCCCCGGCCCGGAAGGTCCGACTCAGACGCGGGCGAGAATCGCGGATGTCGCAGTCGATGATAGGCTGAACGAACGGACGCTGTCGGCGCTGTCGGACCGGCTCTGGATACATCTGACCCAGCGCTCGTGCGGCCGCCGGCCGAGTCGAACTCCCCTGATTCGGACAGCAGCTTGGGCAATAATTCAAACGAAAGGGACAAAATATTACGGCTCGGTGAGAGCATCTACGCGGGTCCCGTCGGTGGCGCCGAACTTTGGATGGCTGGCCACTTAAACTGTTAACTGCTGCTATTTCCGTCCCAGAACTGGCGTCCAAAGTTTATTTATGGGCTGGAATAAATTAACATAAACGTATCACAGAAAACCGAACGACTGAAAATCGCGTAACATCGCATGCCTGGCTTGGTGTGGCCAGTCAGTTGATATATGCTGGTGCATTCGAAGAATGTAAAAACAGGAATTAGAAGGACAACCTTATACATATATGACATATTTAACTTCTTGACATCTTTGAAGATGAGCCGGTTCAGATTCTAACATCCTAACGTTTTGTTATCCAGATCAAACTGACCAAGCTCCCGAATATATAGGGAACCGGCTGGAGTATTCCCGGGCGTTAATGCGAGCTTGTGACCAAACCATTACATCTGGATTAAGCTTGAGCATTTCCAAAACCAAGGAAAGTCAGGTTGTTTTCTGACTGCTATACTTAAAGACACTGGCCGCGACGCAGATGACCACTTCATCACAACTGGCCTAAGGCTTGCGAGCATGCTGTTTGAGCACAGCGCGGACAACAGCGCTATAAGAACAAAGCTCTTCATGTTGATCCGGTAACTGACAGGGAATCACGGCCCATTGGTCTCATCAGCCACACAATTCACCCATTTTGGCCAGTTAGGGAGCGGTAATTGGCCAGCGTCGCTCTCGGTAGCCAATAGACGTGCTCTTTATGCCGCGGCCGCTGCCAGAACTGGGCAGCCACGATCGGCTGGCGCGCTTCCACAAGGCCAGACGGGCCATTCGGGTGCCAGGCCGGACCAGGTCCGCCTCGCACGAGCACCACCGCACCCGCTCGGTGAGATCTCCGCCAGCCCCTAATGCCCGGATCGGCGGCATTTGGCCGGTGGGAATGGTGCAGTGTAAAATGCAAGAACTATTGGCTGATTCAGCCAGGCGGGAATATGTCTCGAAATGATGCTTAGAGGGAATGTTACATTTGAAGATATTCAGACAAGCACTAGATATGATGGAACTAGCTCACTTGCAACCGTTGATATATTTTTAAGTGGAAAAGACTGGACCGGACAGCACAATTCTTTGTTTAGAAGATATGCTCCGCAATGTGTCATAGTTTTAATTCATTTACGTAGTTATGCTTGCACAATAATGATTGAGTGCCAGTTGGCGGCCGTTTTACCCGGAATTCATGCTTACAAACCTCAAATATAAACGCCTCGAAAGTAATGTTTTTCTTGGCGTCGATCACTGCAAGGCTAATGGAATGGCGATACCTGAATTATGTTATTATGTCGTCATACATGCCAAGGTGACCTTGGAATGTTCTTTCCGACGTACCTTTCCCTATTTTCGCGGGCGTTTAGCTCAGGAACTAGAGGGGTTTAGGTCTTAAGAAGCGAAGGATTGTGAATAGCACCAAAAGGTCTTCAAGATGGCAGTTTCGGTTCAACACCCCATATAAATGCAGAACACTCCCTTTAAGTTATTTTAATTAAATAATTTGCTTGTTTTTCAGCAGTATGCTATCCGACAAAATGTTCTAGAAGGCAAGAGAAGTTTTGCATTGGTAACGAAATTTGCGCGAATATACGATAGTTTAGATATTTGGTCGAGTGGCAATGTTGAAAAACACGGAAGTCAAGTTACAGCACGCTTAAATCCGCCCGACGCAAAGCCAAGGCGAGGTGCTGCTTAAAAATGGATGATGTCTATGCTAAAAACGCTAAAGCCTGAAGTGTCATTGATTGTGTGGCTTTTAATTGGTGTGCTCTGGTGCTTTCCGCCACTTTGGATCGTTTTCGTCGCCATGTTTTCCACATCTCTTTCCAGCGCGAGAGGAGCCTCTTAATGTTTGTTATTTCCCCGTTGTTCCTGTGGCTATTTTTTCTTCTTTTTTTTTACCAGGCGAAAGCAAAACCACCGTACGCTTGTCCTGAAATGCTGACTGCATGGGGATATGTGCGTGCGCGCAGAATACTGGGAGCACAATTTTGAGTGCAAGTTCCGGGACAGTCCCAAGACGCTGTACAACCGGAACTACAAACACAACTGCACCGGTCACGAGCGCGTCTCCGTCAACAACACCCAGTTTGAAGCGCAACTGCAGTTTGTGAGCGACGCCGTCATGGCCTTCGCGCACGCCTTCAAGTAAGCCCTCCTAGGTGGAACCCACTCCGCACGGCGGTGTTGGGTCTGGAGACGACAGGCCGCCTTGTGACCCTGGTTGTGCGACAGCCGTCCCTGCTTGGAATACCCGCGGCCTTCCAGTGTGCAGCACTCCGCGTTTTGCCGAACAGATCAACTCAAGACATCAAGCGCACTTAGACTCTAAAACCAGCCAGGCCCGTCGTTGTGTGTCAGGCTAATATGACATATTGCTATTCTACTAAAAAATGACAGCACACAATGTGTTCCTTTCGGCTCTGAAGTATTGCTGTTTTACAGGGACATGCACAGGCAAAAATGCAAAAAAGGCTTTGTGGGCCTGTGTCCAGCGATGGATCCGATCAACGGGACAGAACTGCTGTGGTATCTTCGGAGAGTGCAGTTCATTGGTGAGAATGCCTCTGCGCATGGCTGCTTGAATACAAACATTTTCATTCCGACTATCCGGGGTCATTTCGTGACCTCTGGTTTGGGAGGCGAGGTAACAGGCAGTTCCCACGAAGCCCATCTGAGATGAGCCTTGCCTTGGCATTTTCTGAATGAAAATGGCACGTCAATCTGTTCGCTGGCATTCACTTGTATTATGTAGGGTATGCTGTCTTATTTGGGCTCACGCCAGCCACGGCATCGACCAGACCAGTCTCAGTCTCAGAGGTGTCCGAACGAGCTATCCCGGGCGACGCTGACATGTGATCAGACCCATTCTGATCTGACCTGACCTGAGCTGACCTGACCTGACCTAACCCGGTATGCCATGCTCTGTCCGATATTATCAGTAAGATCCGTCAGCAATGTCGCTCCTGCCACCCACTGTGACCTGACATGTGGCTCCGGATTCTGGCGGCAGGCCTGAGCGGGGACCGATTCCAGTTTGACGAACAGGGTGACGGGCCGGCTCGGTACCGGATCATCCACTTCAGACAGGTGTCGCCCGGTCACTACAGCTGGGACCAGGTCGGCGAGTACATCGGTAACCAGCTGCTGCTCAACATGTCAGGTCAGTGTCATGTCGGTTCCGGCTGTGGTCGGCCTCAGCACTTGATCACCATGTGCTGATGATGATGATGTGCTGATGATCATCTCTATCATCATCGGTGGGACGCGACACCCGATTCCCCACCCATGCTTGGCGAAGTGTATGGCGGCATTCGTTGTTTTTGGTAGCTTATCTTAAGATAACAGGTGCTTTCAGGATGTAACGCATCGTGAGGATATCTGCATGACAGCGTGCATCGCCAAAGCCAGTCGTTGTCCCGCGCCCGTCAAATCCAGGCGCTCAGCGCGCCGTTCCTACCGTCATGCATGATCGCACACCATCAAAACACTGATTATGCAATGAAGTTAGCCTTGGTTCCAATGCGGGTCGGCCGTGCAGCCGCAGTAAAACACAGCGGGTCCAAATTACCGGCCCGGCTTTGCTCAAAGTGTGCCGGGCCACGCAGGACGTGCAGAAGCCGACTGTTTCGTGGACAAGCGGGTCGGCTTAGGGGCATGCAGCGCACGGGGGGGGGGGGGGATGACGTGGGGAGGTTACACGGCCACACCTCGGTCCGCTGACCGGCCCGGGATCGATGGAGCAGCTCGGCCCGCTTCGCGCTCGCCGAGGCGCACCAGTGGCGCGGTACTGAGCACTGGCCAGTCATCGAACCTCCCATGGCGGGCACCGCCTCACTTTATGACCCCGGAGCGCTGCGAAATGCCTCGGCCATGCAAAGCGCCGGGCCGGACAGTCTGGTCAAAGCACTCTACTTAAGGAGCTTGGTGCATGCCTCGAAATTATTACACACAGGTGCTGACAACACAACATTCGTCTGACATCAAGTTTTCATTTTCATGCTGGTATTTTGTAATTTTTGTTGGTCAATAATGTCTCTAACACATCAGCAAGGGGTGCACGTCTTCGTCTCACTCACTGATGCCGCTTGTCTCAAAAGCAAACGTCCTCTTATCAAAGCGAAATAGTATGTAGCTGGCCTTTACTAAGAGCGATGCTATAAGCACGTCACTGCCGACAGCACCCGGTCACCGAGTTAGCCATGACAATATTCCTTCACTCCGTGACTGTGTGAGCTCCCTTTTACACATTACACATCAAAACAGAACCAGTGCATACATGGCAGCGTAATGAGATACATGATACATGTGTCGGGCGGCGCGGTGCGTTGGTGACCTGGTGGCCTGTGACCGGCAGCGATCCAGTTCCGTCTGGGGGCCCCGGAGCCTCCACGGTCCATCTGCAGCCTGCCCTGCCGGGACGGCCAAGCGCGCAAGTACGTGGACAGCGAGGCCAGCGAGCGGTGCTGCTGGCACTGCTTCAACTGCTCCACATATCAGGTAATGATGTCGCAACGGCGGGGTGCCTAGGCTATCAGGCCGGATCAGGCCACCTCCGCTTCCACTGCCCCGCGTGTCAGGTCACAGCTGGTCAACGGCTGCTGGTACCACTGCGCCTTTAGTTTGCTTCCACTCAAAGGCTATTTTATTATACCTTCCAGCCCTGTGCGTGTTTCCAGCGTAAATACCTTTGACTCTTACATTCTGCATCATATTCATGGCATGGCCGCCGCGTCTATCTTGCATCTATCTTGCGTTAACACATCCTCGGTTGGGGTGGCGGCCATCGAGACCAATACGGCGAGCCGTCCCAGGCCGGCGGCGCCAGGCCACGCCGTTCTCAGCACTGATTAATTTACTCCACGTGTTGGGCGTTAGTGAAGAACTGGTGTTATTCACTATCGCCCGAGTGCCTATGGCTGGAATATTGGTGGAATATGCGCCTGCATTAGGTACCTTTAAGCTAAATGCTCTGAACCTTAGGTCTGGACTAAGTGACTTAAATGCTGGTTGGCAATTTTAATTAACAAGCTGAGTGAGCCCGACATAATTTCCGTTTGGTTACTTTGACGAGCACACAGGAAAAAGTTGATATTTTGGGTACATACTGCTCACAATAAATAGAATTACGCTTATACGCGTAGTTCTGATGGTTCGATCAATCACAGTTTGGACCAGAGTTTGCCATATTTGAGGCCGGTCTCGGAGAACGCCGACATTAGTCGCCTCCCGGTCCATCACTGGCACACCTAAGTCGCCTCCCGACCCATCACTGGCACACCTAAGTGGGCTCCCGACCCATCACTGGCACACCTAAGTGGGCTTCCCGGCCCATCACTGGCGCATCTAAGCGTCAGCCTGTGTAGAAATTCCCTCATTATTTATTACTACTTGCTATTTTTATTATTAATACTTACTTGTTATTATCCCTTATTATTTACTATTATTTATTATTCGCTTATTACGCCTGAGCCTGCTTCACTGCCGCCAACTGACACCAGCCCCCAAGAACTTCCAAAGGAGGGTGGGCTCATGGTTTGCAAGCCGTTGCGCGGGCGTCGGCACACACTGGCCCATGCTTCAGCCTGTGCGGTTGTCCGTTTTGTTCTCCGTCAGCATTAGTTCGACTTCTCTCATCGCGACAGTTGTTCGTCGAGTTCTGAACCTGTGTCCGACCCGCAGCATTCAGCCTGGCTCGCGATCTGACAGCGTTGTGTTTCCTGTGTGAATCAAACGCGGTGAAATCATTATAGCATTTCCATGGTGTGGAAACATACCGCCTGATCAAGCACCCTATTTATAATTGCTTTGAAAACAAAACGTACACATTTTTAAACAGTGTTGCTGCTTGCTGTTGAAAACTTCACAGCAGTGCACTCGTCAGCTCCGGACACGTAAGCCCGTCCATAGCGTCACTGGCCTGGCCGCGCTAGGCCGCTCAAGCCCCACAGCGTTTCACTGTTAGTTTGCGTTAAGGCTGTCCCCGTCTTCGGCCTCGCTCTCAGTCATCACAGCTCAGCGGCTGGCAACGCAAACATTTATCTGCCTCCAAAACATGCTGATGATGTTCTAATTGATAGCAAAGTTCCGTTGGTAGCTCTCTGTAGTCAGAACGTCACGTATGGTTAGCATGTAACACGGTCATTCCTTAGCAATTCCATCAAATTTTTCCCAGCTTTCAGAATTACGTCATGTTTCCGGTACGCTCCTCTGGTATGTCAAATTATGTTAAGACTGAGTTTGGGTACGTTAGACCGGGCTTTCGTCCTCTCGCTGAGCTGGAGTACAATACGCTGGGCTTCCGCCTGCTCATTGCGTTTGGATGCAACACTCTGAGCTTTCGCGTAAACGTGGGGCCTGGATGCAGTGCCTCGAGATCCGCTTAAACACTGTGCCCGGGTTCCCGCCGAGTTCCCGCCCGCACACTGAGGCCGCACGCTGCGCCCGGGTGCAACGCGCCGAGTTCCCGTCGCACACTGAGGCCGCACGCTGCGCCCGGGCGCAACGCGCCGAGTTCTCGCCCGCACACTGAGGCGGCACGCTGCGCCCGGACGCAACGCGCCGAGTTCTCGCCCGCACACTGAGGCGGCACGCTGCGTCCGGGTGCAACCCGCTGAGTTCTCGCCCGCGCACTGCGCCCGGGCACAACGCGCCGAGTTCTCGCCCGCACACTGAGGCCGCACGCTGCGCCCGGACGCAACGCGCCGAGTTCTCGCCCGCACACTGAGGCGGCACGCTGCGCCCGGGCACAACGCGCCGAGTTCTCGCCCGCACACTGAGGCCGCACGCTGCGCCCGGGCGCAACGCGCCGAGTTCCTGCCCGCACACTGAGCCTGCATACAACACGCCGAGTTTCTGGCAGACCGTTCACAGCAGCAGCTGCGCTCAGTCCGCCAGGCCGGCCGACCCCGGGTCCGCCAACTCCCAGAACTGGCGCTGCCGCTCGTACGCCGCAGCGAAAACCAAGCGCATTTGTTTCGGCGAGCAAACAGAGGCGCGAGTGGGTGTCGCTGTAGCGGTGGTGGTGTGTGCGGGAGCGGTTAATTGGCGGCAGCCGGCGGCGCGCGGCAGCTGGGGGTGCCGGCGCCAGGTGAGCCGCCCCCGGGCACGCGATCGATGGTATCCGCCCGAGGCGACAGCGCACAGACGCCGGGAGCGACGACGCGCCCGTCAGCCATTCTCCTCCCGCCTGCTTCGCTGCCGCGCGCGCTGGAGGCCGAGCGCCGGACATGAGATGGTGCCATAAATCGGCTCGCCTGATCAGTTTATAGACGGAGGATTAGATCATGTCTCGCAGGATTAAAAGGCTCTCGTTGAGGAAAATCTTCTGACCTCGTTTGTATGATAATCAAGCCCATAAAGCCTTCACTTGTCTCGTAAAAAATATTAGTCGCGTTTTCGGCCTCATAACTTGGAAAATTTTGTTGTTCTGGGCTCCACGAAATCCTCATTTATTATGGAAATATATCCCTAGCCCGCAAGCATACCATGGGGTTATTATTCTCGAGCTGGTTAGAAACATGCAAACAACAATGTTTGCACGTTTCAGCCAGATGTCGCACCATATTCAAAGATGCCCGGGTGGGCTTTTTGTAAGTTTTTGGGTTTTTCCAGACGAAGTGAGCCGTAGATACTTTTCACGATGAAATGAGCCGTGGATATGTTATTGCCTAAAGGCCTACTCGGGGTAGGACTTTCGCCAATAGAATGATGAGCCGGAAAATTATAACAGTGCGTTTGCAATCGGTATTGCATGCCGTATTAACGACGGCTGGGCGTTATCGACAAGCCGATACGTTGCGCTTGGGCAACTTCGCCTTTGATCTCCCAACGTGCCCTAAAACTGCATGCATCACAGAACATCTGAAGGATCTTGGGCGAGAAGGCAATTGCCCAGTTACACTGAAACCACGTTCCTGCTCTGGAGATTCGAAGGAGGTGTCGGACGGAGTTCGGAACGTGATACCAACTTTGGGAGCCTGCGCCATCGAAGCACTTGTCGGGCTGGTTAAATTCCTGCCAATATGCGTCATCAGTCTGGCTTAGCTTCCAGACAGCGGCAACCCTCTACGTGAAATGCGATAAGCCGACTATTTTTGGATGTTAAACATCACTTTCGCACCAGGCTGCTCACACTCAGCGCTTGGATTGCGTTCGACCAGGCGATAAATTCGCCGTGAAACTATCAGCTCAGTCCGCCGCCGAGCATCCGGCCAAAATCATTTACCGCGCTCATCTTCATGCGACGCGGCGTTCCGCCAGTTGAGGCAGACGTGGCCCGGGTGTACAATGAAGTGCGCCAGCGCCTCGTGGCCGCTGCGACAAGCCGCGACAACAGCCGAGTCCATTTCGCTGATTGTGCCTCGCCCACGTTTTACAGGCGCTCCCGACCGCTCTCCACGCGACTGCAGCTTTCGCGGCAGTGTTCCCTGACGGAGAAATCCATTCGGCGCGTGAAATATGGCTTGGCCGTGTGCCCCCACTGAAGCCGGCTCCTGCGCCGAGGGAGCGCCCGAGCAGGACGGTGGCAGCACTGGCGGCCGGATGGTCGCGGCCGGAGTCACCCCACCGCCCCACCCCCACCCCCACCCCCACTCCCTTCTGCGCCTGCTCCGGCGCCGATAACAGCATAACGACAGCGCCGTGAGATATGACGAGCGGTGGTGCCGGCTGTCCCGCGCCCCGGCTCGCCGCGGCGGTTCTCTTCGCCACTTGCGGGTCGTGGCGGTCGGATCTCGTCCGCGGTCATCGTCACAACCTCAGACCGTCGAAAAGCCATCTGCCAGACGGCACCGACCTACGGCTGGCCGATAAATCCGCGCTGTCCGTGGAGGCGGGTGCACAGGGCGCGAGCCGACACCGAGGCGCAGGTCAGCTCGTGGCGCGCCGGGCGGTGGCTGCCGATAGCTCCCGGCCCGGGCTGCCGGGCCGCCAGGTCGGCCGGAGCAGGCGTGCGGGGGCCGCGAGAGGCGTTAGCAGACCGTGTGGCCGGACCGCCCCAGCGCCGCCGGTTAGTATTCCTTGCGGGTCGTCGCCGGCTGGTCAAACCGGACGTGAAAGGTTACGACGGTGCTGAGCCAGGGCGGCTCGGCCCGGAGCGCGACATTTCAGCGCGGCCTGCGTGCCGGGCGGCTTGAGCACGACCGTGGCCGCGCTCGGGCACCGGACCGGTGGCCGCCGCGGGACTGGGATCTCGGAACAGCGCGGGGACAGCTGACGGCAGCTCGTGGATGAACGCGAGCCAGGCGGAGTCAGGAACTCCTTGGTAGCGTTCCTCTCCGCATCGGCACGTTGAGAGCGGGTGTCCTGTCTTCTGTGCAGTGAAGAAGCTGCCAAAGAAGCTGTGGTGTAGACTGAAAACTGAATTTTCCACACGGTTATCGTTTTACTGTGTCCGTTAGCGTAATCCGGTTTGTTTTGCAACATTTGTGATATAAAATCACGATAGAGGTAACCATCTATTTCTCTTCGCACAGTGTCGATTAACGACAAAGCGGCACGCCCACGGGTGATATGTTAAGAGGCGTCGGCTTCAAACAAGAGCACCGCGCTGTGTGTTATTGTTGGGCTACCGATAGTGTAGTGGCTGGGGAGCGCGTCTGGGAAATCAGAGGTACGGACTTCGATTCCCCACGGTGCCCGCCCTTCCTGCCAGGGTGAGAGACAGACGACACCATATAGCCGCAGAAGCGAGTGCGTTGTGAAGCCAGCACATACGCACACACACACACACACACATACACACACACATACACACACACACACACACACACACACACACACACACACACACACACACACACACACACACACACACACACACACACACACACACACACACACACACACACACACACACACACACACACACAAACACACACACACACACACACACACATATACACACACACACACACGTATATATATATATATATATATATATATATATATATATATATATATATATATAAAACCGTGTTGCTCCTTACGCCATTTTTACGCCTTACGCCTCTATTTGCCAATCAAGGGAACACACGACTTATCCGACGGTGCATAATCTTGCTACCAGGAGCATCCGGAGCACCTCTGGTTACAGCGAGATAGAAAAGAAGACATGAACTCTACGTGCATGTGGCGCAGGTCATTGATTCCGTGTTCTGTCATATTAATGGAATTCCTTGCGCCTCGCTAATGTAGGTCGCGTATCGAAAATTAGGACCTTGGGAGCACAAAACCGTGGGGCGGGGCCTGGCGACGAAAACCAGCGACACACCTTTGTCGGGTTAGAGCACCGATGTAAACGAAAGAGCAAAGCACGAAAGCTAAACTGCCTCCCTTCTTTGGATAATTTTGACGGCCTTACCTGGTGCGCGTGTCCTATAGGACCTACCTAGGCCACTGGCATGCCCCGTCACTGATCTCCTGAACTGGCTTCTAAGAGTGCCTCTGCTGGTGGCTAGGATGGTAACCTAAGATGCGCGGTCGGGCGGTGGCCGACAACTGGCGACGGCTGGCGGGACCGACAGCGTGACATGAGGACAAGTCGGTACCACGTGAAGCGCAAGAGGCTCGGTTCAGCGGGCCGCCCTCCCGGGAGGCGTGTCCCGCCGCCTGCTGCAAGCAGGCACTCGTCGCAAACTTCTCCGGAGTCGGTGTGCCTTATGCTTTCGAGACCCTGTTCATTGTTGCGGAAGATTTCTGCCTCGACGGTGGCGGCAAACATGTAGGTGGGATGTCAAAATCCAGCGTGCCAACACGTTTGGCTGCATATCCAAGAGTAAAAAATACTGTGAGCGGTTTGGAATGGTGCATCGGTCGGATCCCTTTCTAGAGTTTCAGAGACATTCCAGAGGTAACGCCCATTCCATTTGCAATCAAGTACAAGTCCGATGTATAGCCCAGATTGCCCGCTACATCTAGGCAGCGGCCTGTGGCCATCAAAGGAGCCTATTTACCCCGGTCTGTCTGCTGCGTTTGATTAGCTGTTGATACAGTTCCCCAGGGCCCCTCTTTCAGCGTCCAGGGTCACCACTGCTGTCTGCGCGGATCTAAGGCACGCGGCGCGTCTCCGCGTCTCCTGTACGCGCCGCCGCGTCTCCTGTACGCGCCTCCGCGTCTCCTGTACGCGCCTCCGCGTCTCCTGTACGCGCCGGAAGCGCGCCAGGCCGAGCGCGGCTAATGCCCGCTCCATTCAGGCGGCCTGAACGGGCGTGGCTCCGGCGTGCGGCGTTGTGTTGCTGCAGATGGCTTTTTCCCATGCGAGAGCCTACTGATTGCCTGTCGCCTCGGCAGCGTCGGTCAGGCAACCGGCCATTCAACGCCACAGCCCAGCGCGGTCCGACCTGCCGGCGCTGTAGTAATCCACTCCTGCGGATGGCACCGTTGGCAGGCCTGCTCCCCTCCCCCTCCCCCTTCCCCTACTCTCACGGTACGCAGCCGGGGTCAAGGCGCTGTGCCCGGCCGCCAACCAGGCCAAAAAGTGCAGGAGGACAGGAGATGTGTCTCTCCTAGAGACGGAAACGTTCGCTGGGAGAGCGGGAATGTGGAGCACCAGCGGTTCGCAAGAGAGTCTTTATCGTCTCGGTGTTGGCGGCTGATGATCCACGGTCTTTGCGCCGTGGTGCCATGCTGAGGTGCGAAGGCAGAACCTACCTCATATGACAGCAGCAATCTGCTGAACTTTGCCTCGTGGGCCAACTATGCAGCTGCAGTATCCAATTATGTTACCTAAGTGCGTCCCACGCAGTGGCTGAACGATGACATTCCACTTAATATCCCGCTGCTGCTGGCGTATTCAGTGGGTGAACTATCGTTGACAAAAAGTTGTTGCAAATAGCTGCAGCAGCATTATAACACTTTTAAACAGAAATCATGTTTCACACATATATATATATATATATATATATATATATATATATATATATGCCAATGCATATATATATATATGTATATATATGCCAATATATATATACCAATATTATATATGCCAATATTATTACCTATATTATATATGCCAATATAATATAGTATATATATATGCCAATGAGTAAGTGCTCAACAGTAAAGTGTGTTTAATGCCTATCACCTCCGCTTGGCCATCCAAAATCCTATTTGACTCCGTGGTCGCCAAAACACGCAAGCCTTGCGAGTTTTTGCTTGTCTCCATCCATCTAAATCTCGGCTTAGAAACGGTCGGCCTGCATCGGGCGCATTACATTACGCGCCGTTCATCTTGTCGCAGACAGCGTCAAAAGCGCCTATTTCTCAATGTCAGTCTACCCAGATTGGGCTCTCAATCAGTTCTGCAACACTCAGCGATTTTAGTTGAAGTATATGCGCGCACCTTGCTTTGACGGAGCGGTGTTGACTTCTTCAAATATCGCTCAGTTGGCGTTTGGCGAACCAAGACCGGAAAAACATCTCCAGGGCTTTCGGTTAGGCCGCGTTCCGTGCGGAGAATAGCCGAGACCCATACCATGCAGCCTTGACGCGGAAGATGCGCAGCTTTGGGTCTCTGTGTTTTATGAAAACAGTGAATCTAGCTTCGCTTCAGGTCTCTTCTCTGGATTTGACTGATATTAAGAGTAAAGACCGGCCGCAAGTGAATTTTCATTGACTTGCCCGCCGACTTCAAGCCGTTGCGATGTTTCAGGCACATCTTGTGCGAGAACACGAGCATGTGAACGCTGTCCGTCGTGAGGCTTAGTTGTAGCATTTGAATCAGCATCTTAATCAGAAAGTTTGCTCTCTTAATCAAAACAGCATTCGGTATGTTGTTGCTTCCCGTGTACATGACGAAACTTTCGCGGTGAACCAGAAATGGAAACCAGAGATAGTCCTGCAATGCCTAATATGGTCTGGGAGATTTTGCTCTGATTCGTAGTTATCGTCGCATGTTGATTGTTTACAGTGCTCTTGTGAAAGCCTTCCTTCCCAATGCTACATATTTCCCTTTCATGTGATAAATTAGCGTGCGTCTGGCTGTAACCTAGGTGTGTGGGTCTGATAGACGCTATGACCGATCTTCCCCCACAAATCGAGGGCTCAGCTCACGTTCGGAGCATTCAGTCAGTCTCACCACCTGCCCTGGCCCTCCTCTCCGCAGACCGTCTACCCTCCCACACCGGGCGCTGGAGCCGCCAGCTGACCCTCGCCTCCCCTCCGCAGACCATCGACCCTCCCACACCGGGCGCTGGAGCTGCCAGCTGACCCTCGCCTCCCCTCCGCAGATCGTCGCCCCCTCCCACACCGAGCGCTGGAGCTGCCAGCTGACCCTCGCCTCCCCTCCGCAGATCGTCGCCCCCTCCCACACCGAGCGCTGGAGCTGCCAGCTGACCCTCGCCTCCCCTCCGCAGACCATCGACCCTCCCACACCGGGCGCTGGAGCTGCCAGCTGACCCTCGCCTCCCCTCCGCAGACCATCGACCCTCCCACACCGGGCGCTGGAGCTGCCAGCTGACCCTCGCCTCCCCTCCGCAGACCATCGACCCCTCCCACACCGGGCGCTGGAGCTGCCAGCTGACCTTCGCCTCCCCTCCGCAGATCGTCGACCCGGATGACAACACCGAATGCCTGACCTGCCGGCTGGGCACGCTGCCGGACGTGACGCACATGCGCTGCGAGTCGCTGCCCGAGGCGTACCTGCGCGCCGACTCGTCCTGGGCCATCGGCGCCATGTCGTTCTCGGCGGCCGGCATCGTCGTCACCTGCCTGGTGATCGCCGCCTTCATCCGGCACGTGGACACGCCGGTGGTGCGCGCCTCGGGCCGCGAGCTCAGCTTCGTCCTGCTGTATGGCATCCTGCTGTGCTACGCCATGACGTTCGTGCTGGTGCTGCGCCCCAGCAACGTGGTGTGCGGCCTGCAGCAGTTTGGCATTGGCTTCTGCTTCAGCGTGGTCTACAGCGCGCTGCTCACCAAGACCAACCGGATCGCACGCATCTTCAACGCCGGGAAGAAGACGGCCGTGCGGCCCAACTTCATCACTCCCGGCTCGCAGCTGGTGATCTGTGCGCTGCTCATCGTTGTGCAGGTGTGTGCGGACGTGTCGTCCGGTCTCGCAGACTGTGTGGACCGCGGTGGCAAGTGCGGTGGGCTTCCGGCGGTGGTCCGGTCCGCGCGCTCACGGCTGCCCGACGATGTCATGGGCGACCGAGCGCGAGTTGGCTGTCACGTTTGGATGGTCGGTTCGAGGTGCTAATGATGATGTGGGTGCGGAAAATGAGACATCAGATTATGTGCAGTGGGCTGCTGGCCGTAACTTCTGATTAGACTGGGACCACGAGGTGCGTGTTGCGTCCGCGGAGGCACCGCCATGCTAATCAGCGGCGTTTCTGACGACAGGTGGTGGTGTGCTTCGCTTGGATGTGGACCACGCCACCCGAGGCGATCCACCACTACCCCACGCCCGAGGACAACCTGCTTGTCTGCAAGGCGTCCATCAACGCCTCCTACATGGTCGGCTTCGCCTACCCGATCCTGCTGATCGTCGTATGCACCGTGTACGCCGTGCTGACGCGCAAGATCCCCGAGGCGTTCAACGAGAGCAAGTACATCGGCTTCACCATGTACACAACGTGTGTCATCTGGCTGGCGTTCGTGCCCATCTACTTCTCGACGGCCAACCACGTGGCGCTGCGCATCACCACCATGTCCGTGTCCATCAGCCTGAGCGCCAGCATCGCCATCGCGTGTCTCTTCACGCCCAAGCTGTACATCATCCTGCTGCACCCGGAGCGCAACGTGCGCCAGTCGATGATGTCGCAGAAGCAGAACCAGTACAAGCCGGTGCCGAACAACACCAGCCTCACGTCACGCACCAGGGTGGACTCCTGCACGCAGAGCGACGGTCAGTCGGTCGGGCAGTCGGTCGGGTGGTCGGTCGGGTACTCGGCCGGGCAGTTGGTCGGGTAGTCGGTCAGGTAGTCGGTCGGGCAGTCGGTCGGGCAGTCGGTCGGGTACTCGGTCGGGCAGTCGGTCGGACAGTCGGTCGGGCAGTCGGTCGGGCAGTCGGTAGGGCGGCTGACACACATAGCGACGATCGGTCGTTCGATCAGTAGGTCGGGCAGTCGGTCAGGCACACAGTACGCAGTGCGACGGCCAGCCAGTCGAGAAGTCAGCGGGCTGGCACTTGGCTTCGGCAGCCAAGTGCTGCTAGTCAGTCCGGCAGCTGGACAGCCAGGCGGAGGACAGGCGGGCGAGCGAGCCGTCTGACACCGGAGAGTGGGACGGATTGTGCTCGGGTGGGTACGGGTAATAGAATGGCTTGAGGCACTTTGGTAGAATGCCTGCCCCCGACTGGAAGCATTATGAGTTCACATTGGTGGACATCAGAAACGGTAGTTACAGCAAACTTGAACGAATAAAAATTTGGGGCGTTTGTTATAGCCAGCCATCAGTACTTTGTGGCAGTCTTCTTCAGTTAGTTTTATTAATGAGGATATCGAGAATGTCTTTGCATTAAGTGCAAATGGTAGAACACATCGCGTTGAAAATTTAAAAGATTGCTGCGGGCCATCATTGGAATATTTTCTTAGAATCTAAGGAAATATAACCATGCCTATGGTACGGGTACTTAGTAATGCCTTTATTTGATTTGTATAACAGAGCCCCGAGGTAAATCAAGCTCTATGGTTATCGAGAAGTAAATGCAAATTTCTTGCTCTGGTATTTGCGTAAAAAGAAAACACTTTGGTCCGTTTCCCAAGAATGACCACAGAAGATCCTTCCATTACCCTCCCCCCCCCCCCGTGTGTTGAGCTGCTGACACCGCATTTCCGGTACCATGTGCCGGACGTGAGGGGGCTGGTGCGTATTCGCACCATCTTCTGGAGCCCACCAGACTACCATCCCGTGCATATCAATACGGCATCGCTGATCTCGCAAAGTACACACTCCGTCTCAAGGCGAAAATAAAGGCCAATATTCTGTCTGGGTCCCATTAGTGACGGACACAGCTCAACTGCAGCTTAGTGAAGTAGTGGATCATGTGGTGCGAGAAACCTCGTTCTGAAGAGCGTATTTATAAAGGACTTTTAAAGCCTGTGGGCCGCCAGATTCAGGAGAGGATTTGAGAAGGTAGCATCTAGACTAGGGGCAACTGAAATGTGAGTAAGTAATAAGTCATTAGACATAGCGGGGTCAAATCATCGCACGTCTCCAGATGGTGCGGATTTTATCCGTTACCTCTGTCGCTGGTTGTCGGCCACATTGGAGAATGACAACGGTAACAGCTTTTTAAGATCAATAAATTCACTCAAAATGCATGCATAAGCCTATAAATATCCAGAGCACCAGCTCCAATCACCGTCCGACAAGTATTTGGTCGTCTTACGAGTTGTACAAACGTTTTACTTTTTCATAAGAAAGTTTATGACAGCTATAAATCAGATGGAAACGCGCGGCGGGGAAGTCGATCGCCATAAACCGAGAGCCGAAAACCCGTAAAGGGAGCCGCAGTTCCTGCCCAGGAGCCGCCACCGTGGACCATCTGCCGTACTTGCTCATCCTTTTAGACGTGGACAAAAATGGATGGCAGGACATGGAACCGGATTCATGTCTTCCTCTAAGAGCTCTAACTTTCCGACCCGCTGAATAGCAGACCGTGAAGCTCTTTCTCTTCAGCGATGTTAGCTGAGAGCGCAGCGGCTCCAAGAATGTCCAAGAACTTGAGATGTCCTGTGAACATTTGTCCAAACTGGAAAGCCAGACGCCGAGCCGTCAGCTCTTGTGTACTTCCCACTGCGGTGAACTGCTAAGGAAAACGCCCCCGCGCAAGCTGACATTGAGCGCCGAATGGCGCGCATTTGTGGTTTCAGCGGGCGAAAACAGTTTGTTGGGAAGTGAGAAGGATGTTCTTCAAATTGGCAATCAGCCATAGCGCTAGGAGCAGGCCGCCGTTCGTCACCTCGCAGGTTGAAGTGGTGAACATGAGACCCCTCTGATAGGAGCCGCACTTCTAGCTGACTAGAACAGCGGCTTTTCAGGAGACCTGAACATCCTCCCTTTGCCAACTCAGTCTAGCCTCAGCTGGATGCCGTCGTTTGGCACGGCTTCAACTCCACCTGTAAGCGTTCAAGGCACCTGGAGCTGCTGCATGGCTTTGAATCCCTAAGAGGTGGCCCCATGCAAAGCGTAATTTACTCTCGGTGTCAACCCTCTTCACTTTCGTTTATGTAGTTCGCTAAGTGCATTTGCGAGAAACATTATTCACATAGATGAGATAATAGTAATAGTCTTATTCCTCGGAGAAAAGCCAGGAGGATGGAGATATGGATGCGTCGATATTTCGACAACATGCCTTTATCCTTTATCAAACTTCTGCCATTCGTTTCGATAAAGGCATGTTGTCGAAATTTGAACGCATCGAGATCCCTATTCTCCTGGCTTTTCTCCCAAGGAATAAGGCTGTTACTGCTGTCTCAGCTATGTGAATTTCATTTAATCTTTGCTTTTAAGGATGCTGACTGCGGCTTGGCTCACTGTGCTGGAAAGAAGTAATTGCAACAAACGTGTCACAACTTTAATGTCCAACTCATCGATCAAATATAGATTTCCTCAACAGCTTATACCAGTTTGGCTTGTCCTGGCTTGAGCCTGCTGCCGGTTCTGGGGCAATCTCCTCACTGATCGGGACTAATGCTGTCTGGAACCGAGGCATTCGTATTACCCCGCAAGCATGCAGCCAATGGGTGGTAGCTTTCTTGTGGCATCTGGCCATGCATTGGTATAGCCTCGATTCAGACCGTATAAAAGGATTGCATTACAATTTAAAGGTAAGGCATTCATGTGCTGTCCGATTTTACAGGACTGTTTCCAAATACCGCGGCCCTTAGTGTCCTGGTTAACGCTGCCCCTTCCGCGCGCTCTGCCGGCCGCCACACAACGACAATGCCCACACTGAGTCCCGGTGGCACCGGTCTGGCTGCTTCTGGCAGTCTCCCATGTCTCGGCTCCCTCCCCAGTACCGCATGAGGGCATTGACTTTGACGTTTGCCTGCGGTCGAGCTGTCACTTGCGCTCTGCTATTTTTGCAATCGCATGATATGACTGATGACCAGAAGCATTACTCACTGGCCGCCTCTGTAATAGGGGATTTACCTCCTCGATCTCCCTCTAGGATGGTGCCGGATGATGCAGGGCGAGCTGCCCTGAGCTGCCCTGAGCTGGCGAGACGTCGTGTTCGGAGCTCCGTTCGCCAGGTCGCTCCGCCGTGACCTGGATTTGAGGCTGCCGGAGGGGCGGCGCCCGGCCGGGTCCATGCGTCCCTAATCCCGGCTCAATGGGTCACTGACGGTCCGCAAAGAGTGCCTGCCGCCCTGTTAATGGCGGTCCCGTCCGCCGATCCATTTATCACACCCTGACCGCTGACACAGATGTGCGGCGCCAGTAATGCCGCCGCGCACCACCGCACCGACGCCGTGAATGGCCACACGTTATTAAGATTGAGCTGATGCCAGCACTAGGCAAACACCCCCATGGTGAGGGTGGCACGACATGGTTTGGAAGGTGCCGTCCTGGGAGAGGGTTTGGCCGAGCGATGCGGACAGGCTCACTCGTTAATGGCCCGGCGGAGGTAAAGTCAACGAAAAGGAGGAAACATAAAAAAGAAAGAATGGCCGACACCGTGGGCATAGTATAGCGGGACGAGGTGGACCGTGGTCCCTCCGCTGTTTGAGAACATTTCACATTAACCCGTTGCGAGCCATGGAACGAATTTACTTCAAACTTGTAAGTGATGCCCTTCTCCCTTCATTCCTGCCTGAAGTGTTTTTAAGCCTAACACCCTGACCCACGTTTTTGTTTTTGCATTATGATTTCTCATGTTGAAAATATGAACTTCCATTTGTCGTTGGGAAACTTGTCAAACAAATATGCCAGGTAGTTGTTAGAATACCTGGAGAAATATTCAACCACCAGATAAATATTCAACATTTGCAGGTGATGATCGTGGTGATGTTGATAATTTGCGAATGGCCTTAAATATATGTTTCAAGGGCATAATAATTGGAATATTTGAAAATCATCACCACATCAAGTCACCATTATCATCACCGAGGTTTCATAAAGACATAATGTATCTAATAAGTGACGTAGCCGTAGTGCGTCCTAAATGTGGTGGAGGGACTCTAAACCCAAAGTCCCGAGTGCCTTTTGCCAAGCTTAAGACGACGGCAGCGCTGGTATAACGTAAAAACGGGCCCTCAAGGCCGCAGAAAACGGGACCCTGAGCCTAAAAAGGTTGTCTGAACAAAAGGCTGAACCCCTACAGCAACGAAGTGGGGCCCTTGGCTGAAACAGCCTCTATGCACTGATTAAGATCGTCATTCTGGACGAAACCCCGGCTACACGCCCGTGTCTGGTTGTAAGTTTGATGATAATAAGTATGTTTGGATGTTAAATGACTATGTACTGAGTCACGGGAGAGTGGTGTAATAAGAGAGAGAGAGAGAGAGAGAGAGAGAGGAGACGAGGGGGAGAGAGAGAGAGAGAGAGAGAGAGAGAGAGAGAGAGAGAGAGAGAGAGAGAGGAGAGAGAGAGAGGAGAGAGGAGAGGAGAGAGAGAGAGAGAGGAGAGGGAGAGG